ATTTTCAGGTGGTCAAATTCTGAATTGCATAAAGTGTCCATTTTCCATATGGGTTGAGGTAAGAAATTCTCTAAAAATTACTACATGACTTGCCACATTTTCTTACAAATTTGTCACATCTTTTAGCTTGTCCAAAGTTTATCCTAATTTCATCTTTGATTGTCAGAATTGTTTAAGCGTAAATAAGAACTCTTATAGAGTAATCATTTATTCATAGAACAAGCATGTAATTAAGGTGTATATGTAAATGCCACCTTAGTTGTGAGCCATATTTGACAACATAAAGAACCCAAATGAAACAAAAAAACATGATATTGCCTATTCATTCCATAGCAAGCAATCCAACATCTAATACTCATGCCAACAATTATTTAGAATGGACTCAGAATTTCGAACATAGATATTTGATTATTTTCATACATCAATTTTTGCAGATACTTGAAGTCCCTACTTTCCTTTTCCTTTACCCTTTCCTTGACCTTTCTTGGCTTCAAGCTTGGCTTGCACACGAGCTGCAGCTGCCGCTTTTTGTTCTTCTCTCTTCTTCTTGTCCTCCTCTTTCGCAGCAGCGGCAATCTCTCTCTGCTTTTTCAGCTCCCTGTGTTTCATTTCAAGTCACAGCATACGGATCACATTGCTATATATCCAAAGCAAACAAAAATAACAGTTTTTATATATAATGTTTACGTAGTTGAATCGCAAGAGCTCACTAGGGCTAAGGCAAAGCACCAAGGCTTAAAGAGAATTTACAAAGCTGAACCGCATCAAAAATAATCAAACTGTGATGGGCAGTTAGCTCACAAACTGCGCAAAACATTTGGTTAATGACTTTTCCTTTCGGTTTTGGGTTTTTGTGAACATTCTTAATATTTGATTTGGTTGTTTTTTTATTTTTTTTAAAGAATCCTAATAGCAATTTGATAGAGTTTGGTTCAAAAAGATTACGGTAATTTGATCTGAAAACAAAGAATCATTGCACCCAAACCTTTATACCAGCTTGGTTTGGGAAGAACCATCAAGAGTTCAGCTCAATTTTACCGAATTGTTGTAACGGTTCAGTTTGGTTTGATTTTTCCTTCTTGAACCAAACCATGAAAGATCCTACTTATATATAAATACTAACAAATTATACCTACCAATGAGATCACATCGACATCATGACTCAGAACCACGTCTTTTTAGGATATAAGTAGAATCCTTACTTACCCGTTATACCAACTTTTGTTGGCTAACAAAAATAACAGCTCCCCTCTACTTTTGGAGGATAGAAAAAAAATTATTAAGCATAAATGTGCTAGACTTACTCTAGCCTAGCCCTCTCCTCTGAAACACTTCCAGTAGTAGAGCCCTTCCGTGGCCTACAGGCAACTAGCTCAACTTCAAAAACCAGTGTTGCACTGCAAGGGAATCCAAAAAATAAATAACAATTAGAGACTTTCATTCACAGGTAAATGCAATTCAACTTCTTGCAAGTACTACTAAGGAAAGCAGAATAGGAAACAAACCAAGCTCCACAAATTTACTGCATAAATTCACCTGAACTTATTAGGATATCTATCTTGATATTTTTTTACTAAAGATTTAGAAAATAAATGGTCATTTTTGGCATTTTTAAATCTTTGTTCTAACCAAAAGTATTGTGTGCATGAAATGAGATAAGTACTCTGGAGGTATATCTGGCGGAGATCCTGCGCTACCATATGCATAATCTGGCTTGCATGTTATTTTTGCAATTTCTCCTACCTGTTGAAACCAGCCAAAGAAAAATGAGACCAATCCAAAACCTTAATACAGGTTATCAAAAGCACGCCCTATTTGACCTTCATGGTTTTGACGGCAATATCCCAAGCCTTGATAACACTACCCTTTCCAAGTTCAAAGGAGAATATAGTGTTGTCTTCATGTGTAGTGTCAAAGACTTCACCGGTATCAGCGAGCGTGCCTTCATAGTGAACTGATCGGAGAAACAATAATACAATAAGAATAAAACCATGCGTGCAGTGCTTCAAAATTATTGATCTCATTAAGCATAAATCAACAACAAATCATGTAATTAAATAGTATAAAATCTGATCCTAAGAGGCATACTGTAAAATGCTCAAAAAATAATATAAAAGATACTAATGATATTCTAACGATTATTGTACCAGTGTTATCAAATATCCGGAATTGCGGTGCTATGGCAGATACACATGGCGGTTTTTGGGCTCACACAATGGTAAATAACGGCCGATATTGAGGGTTTTTCTGCCATAATCCGCTATAACGACGCTGCAATGCGTCCAGTTTGGCGGGATTTTGGCTCCCCGCAATGGACCGCCATCCGCCATGCACAACAATATACTGTACTAGGTTTGAACTCTAAAGTATTCGCATTACAGATAAGCATACCATCAACAACGGGAAAATCTTCAGTTGGAGCCACAGCATCTGACTTGCTCTTCCTCACAATGGTTTTGATGACTCCTCCATCCCCAGACAAATCAATTGCGTCTCCCATCGTTTACACACTGTAAAACAATACACGTGAAAATAACAAAGATAAATCATGAGTTCTTTTGACTCATACAACATTACTAGTAATAAAGCAAACCACAATGAAGTTTATAAGCAATCAATAAAATAAATTAAGATGGTCAAGCCAGACCAAACCAGAACTCGGTATCAAAACTCAAAATTGATGACCAAACTTCACAAACCATCAGCACACAAAAAGAGCCTAACAAGTTCAAAAAACGGACAAATTGACAAATCAAAAGGTTCAAATTTACTAAAGAGTGTATAAGTTAATTCGAGACTTCAACAACCAATACTTAAATTACATAAAAACTCAAAAGGACTTTTCCTTTAAGAAGTGCATGCAAACAAAAATAAAAACGGATCAGGTAGACACCAGCCTGATCGAAAGCAGAAAAAATAAATTACAACCCACACTAGTAATTTTCCGCAATTAATCAACCCAATTTCACTCAGAAACATTTCTAAGCATGTTAACTTGACTTTGATACTAAGATTGATAAACTCAGTGCAAGAAATTATACGAGTCAATTCAATTTCAACAACCATAGTAACATTATATCAAAATCTAAAATTAATTTTTCCTTCAAGAACTGCATGCAAAAAAAAAAAAATACACAAAAACGAATCAGGTTTAAAACCCTAACACTGAATCAAAATCTGAAGATTAAGAGTGAACTATACCAAGAGTGATGAACTTTTTTTTTCTCAGCTGAAGGATGAAGAAGATTCTGGAACGAATTGGGGTGATAGAGTGGCGGGGTTGATAAACAGCGAGGGATTTTGGAGAAAAAGAGTGGCCATAGGCGTTGGGTGAAACTGTTTCTTGGAGAGGGGAGATTGGCGTTAAGAATAAAATACAATGGTGATTGGTACTTCACGCGTAGTGTATACGCGTGTAATATACGCTCCATGAAATGGATTTCTCATGTCATATAACTCTCAACCGTTTGATCTAAATCAACGTACGATAATCGTTTAACGGTGTGCAATTAATTTGTGATTTAAACCACATTGATGACATAGATTTATTTATTTATTTTTAAGAGAATTTATTTTTCCACTTTTTAGTGTTGAGATACACTTTTGAAAATTCGAAAATATCTTTTAAATATGTATATCTGAACGTACCTCTCAGTATGTTTCAGATATGTACATTCGAAGATACTATTTTTCTATATTTTAATACTTAAATGTTTGATTTAAAATTTTAGAGGTAGTTTCGGATATGCATATACGAAACTACAGTTGTCGTATTAGAATGCCGCATGGTCATCCATTCCAACTATTTCATTTATTTTCTTTCCTCCAATAACCAAAACCCTTAACAAAACTTAAACCATTCTCAATGAAATTTTCGTCTCCAAACCAAGTTTCAAGTGTTTGAGCATAGCAAAGAGAGCATAGAAAGTTGCAATTTGAAGTAAATTTTCCTCATTTCATCTTACATTCCTTGTATTAATGATGATTTGTGGAAGAAAAAAATAGCGTCACTTCGGATATGCATATCTGAATTCAACCTACCATATTCCGGATGTGCATATCCGAAAATATGTCTGTTACAGAAGCATAATTTTGTTTTAACATAATTTATGTTGTTTTGGCCGTGTTAGGTATGGTGCATCCCGACAATATTCTCAAAGTTATTGTAAAGGTTTCAGACAAGGTCAATGAAGATGCTAAGTCGAATGAGATGAATGGCGTTGATAAAACGATTGATGTTGTGATAGATTTTAGACAACAATTTACAAATGATAAAAGTTTCACCTCTCGTCAATATATGCTTGAATGGATTTGAATGGAAGCTAGCAAACTTGGGTTTGGCATCGTGATTGGAAGGTCCGACAATGACACTAGTAGAAGGCAACCATTTGTAGTGATGACATGCGAGAGAAGTGGGAAATATGTTCCAAAATTTCAGAAGTTAAAACATGATGACACAGGATTGAGGAAATGTGAGTGTCCATTTAAATTGTGCGATTATTATAGGGTGGATGCTTCGTGGCGGTTTAATATCATTTCCAATATGCATAATCATGTGTTGGACACCAAGCTACAAGGGAATCCAATTATATGTCGGTTTAAGTCAGAAGAGAAGGAATCTATTACAGAATTATCGTTAATCAAAGTTGCACCAAGAAACATACTTGCCGGTTTGAATGGAATATACCAAAAGTGTTTCAAATATCAAGTTGGTTTACAATTATCGTTATAAACAACACATTGCACAAAGAGGTTTGAGATTAGAAATGCAACATTTATTGAAATATTTGGACGATAACCACTACGTTTCCAGGTATATAGTTTGTAAGGACAACGTCAGTATTCGTGACATTTTTTGAACTCGTCCAGAAGTATCAAGTTGTTCAACACATTTCCAATTGTCCTTATAATTGATTCGACGTACAAGACCAACAAGTATAGGCTTCTGCTTATAGAAATTGTTGGTGTCACGTCTACGGACAAGACATTTTCGGTTGGATTTGGTTTTTTGGAATGGGAGAAAGAAGACAATGTCACTTGGGTGTTGGGTATATGCAAGACTTTGTTCAAGGATCCACAAAATATGTCTAAGGTCATTGGTACCGAAGGAGATAACGCCCTTATGAATGCATTTGGTAATGTGTTTCCTTCATCAACCGCATTACTTTGTCGGTATCATATAACAAAAAATGTGAGAGCTCGGCTCAAACCTGCAGTTGGCAACAAGGGAAAAAAGGATGAAGACGAAAGCATGATCAAATTTGGTGTTGTGGTTGAGAAGATAATAGGTGCATGGGCAGATATTCTAAATTCTACTACAGAAGAGTTATATACCGGTAATGTGGTACACTTCAGGAACTTGTGTGTCAAATATCCCAATTTCTTGAAATACGTTAAATTTAGTATCCTTGATCAGCTGGAAGAAAATTTGTATGTGCTTGGATGGACCGAGTTAGACATTTGGGTAACACAATAACTAATAGAGTGAAATCTGTACATGCAACGTTGAAGAAGTGGTTGGGTGATAGCAAGGGAGACCTTTGTAGAGAATGAGATACGGTGAACCAAATGCTCCAAAATCAACATAATGAAATTCAAACAACTTTTGGTAGGAGAAAAACTGTATTAGAACACCGATTCAAATACAACACTCTATACTTGCACTTGGTTCACAATATATCCCGGGCGGGATTGAATTTCATTTTTCATGAAGTGAAGCAAGCGGAGACGACGGGGCCAAATAGTTTCAAGTGTGGGTGTACAATTAGGATAACTTATGGGCTTTCATGTGCTTATATTATTTCTAAGAAAAATAAAGCTCAATTCCTCCATACGTATGGATGAGGTTTGCACTCATTGGAAAAGACTCTAATTTGATGACTACAGACCGACAAAGAAAGGTACATCCAACATAACCATCACAACCGAGTTGGAAGTGATAATGGATAGATTTTATGAAGTTGATGACTCTATGAAATCGCACATCAAAGAACATTTGAGAAAAATTTCCTTTCCGGAAACCACCAATTTGAAACCTCTTTCACAACCGCTAAAAACTAAAGGTGCGCCTAAAAAGGTGAAAAGTACACAAGATGATAGTTCAACAAAGTGGGCTCCTTCTTACCATGAAGTTGTTGGTTCAATATTCCCGGATTCTCCAACCCCAAAATCTAAGACAAGTGTTAATAAGGGAGCTCACATTTCTAAACCACCTCGTACACCGCCTATTAAAAAACAGCCACAAATACCTCTAATTAAAAAAACACGAATGATCTACATTGATGAGATACCGCTTTTTATGCACAAACACATTATAATAATCATGGATGTGGGGAGTGATAGTAATTGCGGGTTTCGGGGCATGTTCGGGTTACTCATTAAAGGAGAAGAGAATCACACTCTTGTGCGCCAAACACTTATTTCAGAGTTGACGGTACATAGGGAACTTTACACCCGACTATATGTCACATTGAAAGCATTCAATAAAGTTCACAATGCTCTTGTTCCAAGTGTTAGCATTCACACACCAGTTGAAAAGTGGATGAGATTCCCTGAAATGGGTCATCTTATAGCAAACGCATATGAGAGGGTGTGTAACGACTTGACGAGATATGGTTTTTCAGAAATATTTTTTCCTCTTCAGACTCCCCCGCCTAGAGATCCATTCGGCCCATTATGTGTATTGAATAACTTAGATCACGCCATTTTGTTCAGGTTATTTGAAACTTGGGTGTTCTATTCTGGCTACATCAGTGGAGTGGACGACACATTCCACAAAAGAGGTGGAAACTTGGCCGGATCACTTTTTAGAAAGGATGGTAGAGTTTACCAATTTTATGGAGCTTAAGAGAGAATCAAATAGGGAGAAGTCGAAAAAGAACCAATTTTAGGTTTAAGCAGTGATAATTCGTTCAGTGCACTTTATAACCGAACCATTTTTTGAATGTATTGTCATACACATTGTAAAATTTATACGATTCAATACATATATAACATATTATCTATATTTAGTTTTACAACTGTTTATTTTTTCCATGTCTCTTTGGTACAAGTAATGATGTTGATTATGGTTCTGCATAATTCGGATATGCACTTCTGAATTTACCTTCAATTTAAAAAAAAAAACAATACAAGGCTTATTTCGAATATGCACTTCCGAATTAACCTCTTATTTTCATAAAAACATGGTGTTTTTGGATATGCATATCCGAATTAGGTTAATTCAGATGTTCATATCTGAAATATGTCATAATAGCAGGATAAGATTTATTGGGTCCAAATTGTTCCATAAAGTCTATAAATAGTGCCTCAAAACCATTTCATCAATATCATAAACCACAACCAGAAATGACTCAAACATATCCTCACCTTGTTTTTGTCTACTTCAGTGGTGTGCAGTCAACACTTCAATCTAGGTTCTCGTAGGACACGTCGTTCGTAGAGCTTATTATCATACTGAATTCTCTCTTGTAATATCCAGAGAACTGAAAGGTGATCAAG